CTAATAAGAGCAATAAACTGAATTACAAAATTTACTTTACAAGTAAGAATTCTATAGTGTTGCTTTGTATTTTAAGAATTAAAGATAAAATTCCTCTTTTAATAACTTAACAAAAAAGCATATTGTCTCGTTTTTCACTGTAGTATATTCTTTTGCTGTAAATTTACAAAATTTACTTTATGAAAAGTCAGCATTCTCTTTAAGTTTAAAGAGTTTTCCATAGAATAATATTCCCTGTGAAATGTATCCCCTTTTTTCTATTGCACTTACCAAAACCCTTGTTCTTTGTTTATTGTTAATTCATTAATGCTCACTATAAAATCTGGTATTAATTACAACATTAAAATTAAAAATCCGGTATTAATTATGTTTCTAATTAAACCTGGCATTAATTATAGGCTTATATAAAATCCACTATTAATTATAGTTTTATAAAAATCTGTTATTAATTTTCAGTTTCCAGCCACCTTCAGGTGTTTGTTGATCCAGATAACGTTCTTCAATTCATCCCAAGCAAGGTGAAAATATCACTAAGATGCAACAGGCTACTGGTAAAGAATAAGAATACTTTAGAAGAAACCACAGTGTTTCCAAGTACACACTGCCCACTCCAGGTATTGAACTCACAATTTCTTTGTCACTGAATTTATGGACCCATGCTTTAATCCACTAGGCTATTGTCCCAGGTAATGTGTACTTGAACTAAGTGGAAACTGGACAAACAAAAACTGAGCAGTACTAAATAGGAACCAGACAAGATGTCCTTAGACAAAAACAACAAAATGGGAACAGTCTATATTCATAGATTGCATAAAATGTTCAATTCAAAATTATCTGAAGGTTACAAGCACCTGATGAAGGCTGGAGGACACAACAGCCAAAAACTTGTGATAACAACAACAAAGATAAGGACAATAGTCCATATATAAATAATGCAAATAATGATAACTCCTCATCCCAGAAATTCAGAAAGAAGGCGATCAGATGATAACAACAACAAAGATGAGGATATTAGTCTGAATGTCAATAAATAATGATAACTCCTCATCCCAGAAATTCAAACAGGTGATCAGGTGATAATAACAACAAAGATGAGGACATTTGTCTGAATGTAAATAATGATAACTCCTCATCCCAGAAATTCAGACAGAAGGTGATTAGGTGATAATAACAACAAAGATGAGGATATTAGTCTGAATGTAAATAATGATAACTCCTCATCCCAGAAATTCAATTAGAAGGCAATCAGGTGATAATAACAACAAAGATGAGGATATTAGTCTGAGTGTAAATAATGATAACTCCTCATCCCAGAAATTCAGTCAGAAGGTGATCAGGTGATAATAACAACAAAGATGAAGATATTAAACTGAATGTCAATAATAATAAATAATGATAACTTTTCATCCCAGAAATTCAGACAGAAAAAAAAATCTGTGCAACAGAATGAATCCTGGGTTTATATAATAAATTTAAATTTATGTTTTCATACATGTATTTACAATCATATCTAACATTAAATCTATGCTTCTGAAAAATAGTGATTTTTAAGCTTTATTTATTGATAAAAAAAACTTGCATATAATATGTTTGTTCTACTATTAAAACTAATTTTGTTTTAGATTCTGTTATCCATGTGTTACTAATAACCCAGTTTATGATGGAGGCAGAAGCAATGAAATAAATAGAAATCCTCTGAGTTAAAAAAGTGATAAATATCCTCTTGGGATCTAACCTCTGACCTGTATCTACTTTTTAAATTATTTTACACTTGACCTGCTAAGGAGAAAACTCAAGGAAAATGTAATCCCCAAATTACAAAATCTGTCTCTTTCCCATGTCCTAATATGCTCTTGGGTAAGTCTCAAAATGCTGAAAAATAAGGCTATTTATTACCCAAGACAGTTGTTCATTTGTTAAAACATGAAACTGATGGTTAACAGCTCTGTAGTTCAATTTATGGTGTTATTCTTTTATGCAGTTAGAGCAGTGGCAATTTACTCAGTCTGTCTCTTTCTACCCACTAAATTTATTTACATTAAAAATAATGAAAGAAATAGGAGAATTGTGCTAAATAAACGCTTTATGGTTAGGTTATTGGATTGGGAGTTTTTTAAATCACGTTTTTGTGGTCAGATTTTAGACAAAAAGCAACAGTAAAATTGATTTAGATACAAACTTTGTAGTTAAAGCATTTGAGCAGAAGTTAAAGAAAAGTTGTTCTAAATAAAGGCTTTATGGTTAGTGGGTAGAACTAGGAGATTTGAATCAAGGTTTTGTGGCTAGAGTATTTTATTGAAAGCAACAAAATGGATTTAGTTATAGGCCTTATGGTTAGAGCATTGGACCAGAAGCCACAGGAGAGATGTTCTAGAAGCTAAAGGACATTACGCTTAAGATGTTGAATCATGAGTTCTGAACACAAGATTTTATGGTTAGAGTGTTGGACCGGAAGCTATGAGAAAGCTATTTTAAATAAAGGCTTTGTGACTACAATATTGCTATAGGTGATTTGAATCAGGTTTTATGTTTAGTGTTTGAAAGAAACAAAATGAATTTATAGAATCAGCAGGCACATGAGAGTTGTTTTAAATCAAGGTATTAAAGTGTTAGACAAGGAACAAAAGGAGAATTGATTCAAATATAAAGCTCTATGGTTAGAGTATCTGATCTGCAAGCACTAAATAAAGGCTTTATGATTAGGATATTGAACCAGGAGAGTTATTTTAATTCAAGATGTTATGGTTAGAGTGTTAGACAAGAAACAAAAGGAAAACTGATTCAAATACAAAGCTTTATGGTTAGAGTATTGATTTGTTAGAGTATTAGAAATTATTCAAATTTTAACAAGAAAAATATCAAGTTGACATTAAAAATTGCTGCAAAATATTGTCAACTTATTTAAGATGGAGTAATCTATTATGACATGTCTCTAAATTGTATTTAGATACATTGTATTTATTTTCAATTTTTCTAGTTGAATTGTTCACCTACATTGCCTATGATTCATTATTGTATACAATTAGGTTACAATAAAATTTATATGAAAACTGAGGTGTAGCAGAGTGGGGACCCCATATCCTAGATTTTGTGGTGGGGGTTGACCTGTATCATAGATTGGGTGGGTCATGAGACCCTTGTACCGGAATTGAAAACTTTTTTGGTATGACATAATCAATAGATAATTTTCATGCATCTGTTCTATTCATATAAATCCCAGGTAATCTCTTTGCTAACAACTATTAACTGTATTTTGTTACTATGATATGAACGTGTTGAAATAAATATTTAATACTATCCTCTACAAAGTGTTCCAAGAAGTAGGACTCATTATAAACCTTTCCAAAACAGAAACTATGATCTGGAATTGGAATGACAGCAATGATAGCATATACCCTCAAACCATCATAAAAATTAAGGATGTGTAATTAATAAATATAAAATCCTTCAAGTACAAATTTAGTATAGAAGATAAGGAAATTGAACATAAAACTGGTTGTTCTAGGATTAGTTTTGTTCAACACTGCAAGTTGATCAGTCAGTTATGTGCCATGCATGATACATGCTTAAGCAATCATGTATCTTTCGATACATGACTGATGAGGCAGATTTATTTGCGATTTCTTTCTGTGGGAGACCAGTTGCCATCCAAGGCTATAGAATCCAGTCTGCCCTGCTATTTACCCATAACTGGGGGGAGAAGAAGAGGATTCATACCTATCCCAAAGGTATTAGCATGTAAGTGAATGTAATGGATCTGACTGGAATTTGAACTCAGCTCTCCAATTTCTCAATCCAAGTCACTATCCACCGTGCTTTTTGATACAAAACTAACTAAAATATTAACCTAAGACCTCAAGTCATGTTATTAACCTTTAGTACTCTGCATTATTACATTATTAATATTACTTCTCTTTCCACTGCATTCTTTTTCAAGGCTTCTCATTGTATTATCCTTATTGTTAATTATTGTTTTCTGTTGCCATAGCAGGATATGACAACACAACTATGAAATTCAGACAAATTCAAATTCAGGGATCAGAGTCACATTCAGTGACAGGATAAACTTTTTGTACAGCAAATGAAGTCACATACAGAGTGATAAAGGTTAAATAATCTCATCAGAATAAGACATTCATGTGACTGTCCTAAATGGCACCAAACTCATTCAGAAATATCTAAACTGTCAGCTGTTTACAACTGTGTTCTCAGATCAATGATTAAAAATAGCTTTGAGGAATTGAAGCAAAGACCATCTTTCTTCAAATCTCATCAGGGAATGGCACTACAAGTAAAGAACTTCATCAAATAAAAAAAAAACACACTTCCAACAGCAGTAACAACTAAAATGGATAGAATATGTAAATAGAATGGGAAATAATGATATAATCAAGAGGTTTACATTCCACACTACTTCAAACATTAGGTTAAGAAGGAAGCCCCCATCAGTACTAGAAAGAGCAATAACAGTTACTGGGCTTGTTAAACGTATTCTCCTGAAAAATTGTTTTAATAAAAAGATTTTATAAATTTCAACTGGAATTAGCACTGGTTGCTTGGTCAATGAATACCAAATGTTTCCTCATAAGGAAACAGCTGTTACCATTAGCATTAGAGATTAGGATAACAGATACTACAGTTTGATCCCAGCTTGAAGGCTAGGGAGCAAAGAAAACTGTAACTCAAGTAGCATATTTGCTTGGACAATGAATGCCAATTGATTGACTGATTTCCTTTCTATGGCTTACCAACCCTTTGCAGGTTATTTAAAACCAGAAAATATTTTTAAATTGATTTTTTTTGTTTTTGGAGATAATAATAGTTTAGTGATACAAGTTTTACTAATTAACCCTTTTCTGGGGGAAGAAGAGGTGGGATTCATACCTTTCCCAAGAGTATTTGCACATAAATGAATATAATGAACTCAACAGGAATTGGAACAGCTTTCCAATCAACAATTCTGAGCTATTATCCATTACAACACCTGCACATTCAAGCTTATGGCACCTGGTATTCCCAAGCAGTCACCCATCTAGGTACTGACCAAGCTCTATGTTGCTTAACATCAGTGATTATATTGGAACTAGTGTTTCAACATGATGTAGCCATAAGCAATGAATGCCAAATGTTTCGATATAAGGAAACAGTTAATTACCAATACTGATTTCATTTACATATGAAGGAAGATGACATTTTATCCTGAAATAAACTTCCTACTGTTTTTTAAACATGATATATTCAATTATATTTAAGAAAATAAATTAATGATCAATATAAGTAATTACTAAGCTTAGATTAGTTTTGACACAAGATTGCAATTGATAGATCTCCAGTTCAGATCAAAACTATTGCTCAGTAGTAATAATGGTGGCCTGAAAGATTAGGTTATTAACTTTTACACTATTATTAGGCACTCAAATGGTCAGTACAAGATTTTTTTTTGCAAAGCTTCTAATCATCACTAGTGTGCTCTAAGAATTGTAAAGAATTAAATCTTAAAACCATTTCTTTTTTTTTTTTAATCATTTCATCCCCAAGCAAAGTGATAATGCCACTAGAATGCATAGGGTTACTGGGAGTGAAAGAAAATGAGAAAACTTTAGTGAGGAGAAAGGACAATACAAGAACAGATGTCAGGAAGACAGGAGATGGCAATTGGTGTTGCATTTAAATTTTTGCAGAGTGTAGATGGCAGAGAAGCAAGAAATCAGAAGGGTGTTCCACAGGTAAAAGAAGAAACTTAGAATAGAACTGATAATTGCTTCTAGATAGTTCAACAGTAAAATGGTAAGATCAAGTTGCCAATCTAGTAACATGCAGTTGAGGCACAAAGGAGGAAAGCTCATCAGAACATTTGCTATGAAAATATTTGTAGAAAAGACAGAAGAAAAGCAATGCATGTTAGTGAGAAAGTGACTGAAATTGAGATGCCAGGTCAGGATTGATTCTTGCCTTTAAAAAGGGCCATTAATTATCTTTTCTAGAGTTCTCGGATATGCATAAAGAAAATGGAAGAACTTCCATTTCTTCCTGACATAGACCATTTTTTCTTCTTAATAAGAGAAGCATAGGGCAATACAGAAGTATTATGATGTGAAAATGATGGTTTTCCACCATGGATAAAGTCTCTGTTGGGCATAGAAGATCAAATCCGAGGATAATTTCTTCCTGAGAAAAAAACGTTTAAAACCATATTTTATCCAATATATTTGTGCTATCTTACTATCTTGGATTGGATAAAGGAATCATTTCTTTTGGAAAAATCTTTTATTTTTTTTTTTTGTCCTTCAGTCTGACACATTCGCTGCTAAGAGACATTAGGATGGAACCATTGACCAATAAGAGAATAGAAGATTATCCACAATTTCAGTTCTATTTAATTTAGTATTTAACAGAAAATGGAACTTAGAATAAACATGACCAGAATGCTATTTCAGGCATTGTTCAAGAGACATACACCCACCCAAAAAAGAAAAAAAAAGAAAATTCAGAAGCTTACATAAACACGCTGTCATTATTAACTATTATTGGCTCCTGTGTGAAGTATGTCCTGACATTTTGTAGTATGGGCAGGAAATTGAAAGGAGGCTTGTGTGTTGGAAGGGAACATTTTGCCAATAAAACTCTTGTGGTAATTGAGTCATTGCTTTGGCCAATGGCTGAGACTTGTAAGTAGAATTGATTCAGAGCAAAGTGTTTAGGGTTTGATCAAGATCTAATGTCTCCATACAATGTCAATAATTTTACAAAATGGTCTCTACAAAAAATTAACCCTTTTTCAACCTTTCATGCTTTCTTTCATTTATTTCTTTATATGTTTTTCCCCCTTCTTTAATTCTCTTCATTTTTTTTATCTTTCATCCAAATTTCTTTTCTATTTACAATATCTTCATAATTTCATCATTCTCTTTTTTCTTCTCCCAGAGCATTTCTTTTCTTCTGTATTAAACCTTTTCTTTTTTTTCTGTTTCTTTTTTCCTTCTTTCTTTATACATGTTCCTATATCTATTTCTTGTTTTCATTCCTTTCACTTTTTCCTCTCATTTTTTCACTTTTTCATTCCTTTCATTCTTTCCTTTGTCTTCCTCTCTTTTTCTCTGCTTTCTCTTTCCTTTGTTTTCCAATCTTTTTCATTCTTTTCTTTCCCTTTTCTTCCTCTTTTTCATTCCTCTCACTCTTTCATTTTCTCTCTTTTTCATTTGTTTCTCTCTTTGTCTTTCACTCTTTTATATTCCTTTCCCTCTTTCCTTTGTCTTTCTCTCTTTTTCATTCCTTTTGTTATATTTTTTTAATTATTCTTATCTCATATTCTGCATTGAAGTAGCGTGGAATGTCAACCTCTTAATTATGCCATTATTTTCACTTTGAGTTACATGTGATATCCATTTTAATTACTTCTACTGTTAAAAGTCCTAAAGTAATGTGGTTTCTATTATTTGGTACAGCTCTTTGTGATACTGTAGCACCAGTCTATGATGTTCAGAGAAAGCTGGCCCTTGCTAAGACCTACAGGGTTCATTTGCTTGAAGCCGACTTCAATCATCAATCTGAAAAAGCATTTGTCTGCATTTGCATATTTTTTTCTTTCTTGGATTCCTCTTTTTTTTATGTATTTTTATATATATATATATATATATATATATATATATATATATATATATATATATATATATATATATATATATATATATATATATATATATATATATATATATATATATATATATATATATATATATATATATATATATATATATATATGTATATATATATATATATATATATATATATATATATATATATATATATATATATATATATATATATATATATATATATATATATATATATATATATATATATATATATATATATATATATATATATATATATATGTATATATATATATGTATATATATATATGTATATATATATGTATATATATATATATATATATATATATGTATATATATATATATATATATATATATATATATATATATGTATATATGTATGTATATATATATATATATATATATGTATATATGTATGTATATATATATATATATATATATATATGTATGTATGTATATATATATATATATATATATATATATATATGTATGTATGTATATATATATATATATATATATATATATATATATATATATATATATATATGTATATATATATATATATATATATATATATATGTATGTATGTATATATATATATATATATAGTGGATTTTATATATATGTATATTATTGTATTAATATATATATAACTATTAAATAACATATACTAGTGTATAAGTAACTAAAAATTAATATAAAATATTTCCTAATAGTATGTTTGTCTTCTGCAAGATCTGGATGGTATAAAACTAGCCTTATTTTTTCTTTTTTTCTCCTATCTTTCACATTTTTGTTTCTATTCTTTGATTCTGTATTCTTTCTTTATTTTTCTTTCTCAAAATTTCCCTTCCTAATAACAGGCCATCATCTTTATTTTTCTCATTTATTAATATTTGTTTTATTTTTCTCATTCATTAATAATTCATTATTTTTCTTGCTAAACACTGCTTATGTCCAGGGGGCAACATGCCATGATCCTTGAAAGGCTTTAAGGACAGTTTCAAAATCTGTTCAAATAAAGTCAAGGATGGACAACAAATTAGTGCAAAAGATTCCTAAATGCCCTACAAATCAGGGCCCACAATATTTTCTAAACAAAGCAAATTCATAAGTTTACAATTAAATCTTATAATTCAATTTGGACATTCTTTAAAATCAAAATCAAATATAAAGTCTTAACTTTCATCAATCTAGACAGACTAACATAAAAAGTCAACCTCAATAGATTGCAGGAAATTACTGTCATTTACAAAAAAATCTCTTAGGCAATAACAAATTTCCATATGATGAATTTTTTATGGCTTTCATCATTGAAAGAAAGAGATAAAGGTTTTACAGAAATGAAACATTCAACTGTCAATCAACTACAACATTCACATCCAATTACATAATGCTCTGGGCTTCTGAGTTGGGCTGGGAACTTTTCAGAACAACTTTAGAACTATTCTAAATAATTGGATGCAATTAATGTCACAGATTTTATATCAAAGTGCCTTTTCCTAGATTATTTTTGAATTATTTGTTTTCTTATGACTTATCAACTTTTTGCAGGTTATTTAAAGCCAGAAAATATTTTTTTAGAATGTAAGAATTTTTGGAAGATAATGATTTACTGATAAAAGTCCTACTACTAGGGGAGAAGAAGTGGATTTATGACTTTCCCAAGAGTACATTATTTACATTATTCGGACTATTGTCCTCATCTTTGTCGCCATATTTATCACAACGTTTTGGCCGTTGTACGCTCCGGCCTTCTTCAGGTGGTTGGAATGTCGAACTGAACCCTTTATTTCACTCACCGGGGTAGACTGTTCTAGTTCCACGTGCCATGTATGATGGATGTCAGTTATCAGTTATCTCCTGTTAATTTCCCTCTGAAAGTTCTCCACTGCCTTAACCGGGTATTGAACTCACACTCTTTGGGTCCTGTCACTGGATCTAACTGACGCCACTGTGACATGTGTCCTCAAGGACACATGGCACAGTGGATAAAGTTCGAATAATGTAAATAATTTCCCATTCTCATTTCCCAAGAGTATTTTTACATGTAAGTGAATATAACAAACTCAAATTGGAATTGAAACTCAGCTCTTTAATTTCCAATTCTAAGCCATTATCCATTGCACCATCTACACATTCAAGCTTACAGTATCTGGCATTCTCAAGTGGTTACCCATCTAGGTACTGAAAAGGCTTGATATTGCTTAACTTTATTGATCATATTAGAATCAATGTTTCAATGTGACATGGCCGCGAGCCTCCCTCCCTCTCCAAGAATGAACTTTGACCCTAAGCATGCTATTACTTTAGTTCTTGTGGTTAATAATAGACAGATCTATTTGTGCCATAGATGAGACCCTAATGTGTGCCACCAGCTTTCTCATGGTATTTGTGTGAAAATGAATGCAACAGACTAACCTGGAATTTGAACTCAGCTCACCAGTTCCATTTTCCTGAAAATTACACCACTCACACATCCACAACTTCATGTACAAGACAAATTTACTAAATCACACATCATAATAATAACTTGAAAAACTCAGAATAAATTTAGAATCATTGTCATAATTGAATTGTTTTTTTGCCTTACAGACCATTTTTTGCATGACGTGTGTTTAAGTTTCATAAGATTTATCAAACTATCTCAATAAAATAACAGAAAAAATACATTTCATAAGGTGTAATTGTTAAACTTCTGCAGGATTTCCCCTATTATTTTTTTTATTTTATTTTCATTTTTTTTTTAAACACTGATCACATTCACTCCTGACTACAAATTAGGCTAGCCCACTGATTGGCCAATAATGATCATATAACTATTCCCATGCAAATAACTTAGCAGTGCCACCTGTGTACATCTGCCTTTTCCAAACAGCCATTTTGTCAAGGGGAATTAACTCAACAGTAGTTGCTTTTTGCTTTGTTTAAATCTGTTTTATTCAGCAAATATGAAAATCAAGTAAAGAACCATGAAAATCAAACCAACCTGAATATTTGGGATAAAAAAACATTATAATTATTCTATTATTTGAATTGGCATCTGAATTATAGTTATGTTGATGCCTGTTTTAGTAAATGCATTATTTGGTCTTCTTAGTTATTTTAAGTTCTGAGATGTATTTTTGTAAGCAAGTATGGAAGTTTAAATACCTCGGAAGTGTTTTAACAGATCACAGAAAATGTGACACTAAAATCTGGAAGCACACTGGAAGAGTCAAAAATACCTTTCAAAATTTCAACAACATATTAAGAAACTGGAAAATGCCATTAGAAACAAAGAAAACAATACTGGACTGTCATGTAATATCAATCCTCCTATATGGCAGTGAATTCTGGACAATTTCCTCACAGATGAAGAGATGACTTGATGCCACGGAGATATGGTCTACAGAAGGATGTTGAGAATATCATGGACATTGCATGTAGGCAACAACAAAGTTTTAAGGAAAATGGAAACAAAAAGGATACCTATAGTTAGAATCAGTCAGTTGAAATTTCTATGATTCATAATGAGGATTGATTTATTTTTTATGGCTTATCAACCTTTTGTAGGTTATTTAAAGCTAGAAAATATCTTTTTAGATTGTAAGAATTTTTTGGAGGTAATAATGATTTACTGATACAAGTCTTACTAATTTACCCATAGCTGAGGGAGAAGAGGGTATTTGTGCATAAGTGAATATAACAAACCTGACAGGAATTGGAACTCGGCTCTCCAATTTCCAATACAAAGTTGTTATAGATTACACCATCTGCACATCCATGCTTACAGCACCTGGTATTCTGAAGCAGCCATATAGGTACTGACCAAGCTCAACATTGCTTAACTTTGGTGGTTGTACAAGAACCAGTGTTTCAACATGATATGGCTGTAAGCCTACATAATGAGGAAAGAAGGTTTAGAAACTTTGCACTCACAGAACATATTGAAGGCAAGTGGAACTGAGGAAACCTATTTAACAAATTTGTGTAAATGAATGACAGAAGAGGGAATAGTGGGGATAATAAAAAGGTAAATGCTGCTAACAGCCACAAAGGATAGGACGTTGTGGAGAGAAATGACCACTTATAACAAGGATGAGCATTCTAGCCTAAATAATTCATGGAATGAAAACAAAATTTCCTCAATAAAAGGAAAATAACACTTTGTTCAAATTGACTGATACTGAGAGATGCTGAATCAATTCAAGGTCAGTTCATCTTTGTTAAATATACAGGCTTGCAAACACACTCAAATGCTAAAAAATGTTTAAAAAAGAAATGAAAAAGACCAATACCTTGCAATCACAAGTAATTACCCAACAGCTTCAATGGGGAAAGCCAACTTACAAAATTGATCCTTTGAGTCAGGGTAAACTTTAAGGACAATTTTCTTCATAATTGCCATTGCCTTTGTCAGTGATTTGATTCAACTCAGTTTAACCATTATGCCTGCAAAAAAAAACAGTGTATCGAAAGGACAGTTATTCCCTTGACAGCGTTATTACTGTAATACTTTTGACTCCCTTGGCAAGGTTTATTTACAAGATTATAAAAACATGTGAACCAAGTACAACTCAACATTTATTATTTACCTTTTATAAAAATTTATTATTTACCATTTTATAAAGAAATAAATTTGAAAAGAAATCTTTTTATTCAAAAATTTATAAAACATTACAAAATTAACAAAATATGTAAACCAACTGCAATGAAATATTTATTATTTACTATTTTATAAATAACTATGAAAACAAGTTTTTTATTCATAATTTTAAAAAAATATCTTCGAAAGTGACTCATTGCACCTTTACGGGCTTATATTCTCAGCTGACACAAAGTTGAAAGACTATACTGATTTCATTGCTAGGTCAGCTACTAAGAAAGTTGGTTCACTGTGTCATGCAAGACAATTTTTCTCTCCAAAATCTATCATACATATCTATAAGTCTGCCCATGTTTAGAATATTGCTGCCACACATGCCCTGTTGCCTCTGCTATTTACCTTGAGCTCCTTGATAAAATCCTAAGAAAAATATTATTGATCCTGATGCAGTGGCTTGTCATTTTTTCATTGCCATAAGATTGCCTCCTTATGCCTTTTCAATAAATATTTTCATGATAATTGTTCGGATGAGCTCTTTACTATGGTACTTAGACTTTTTGAATTTAAGCAGAGTACTTTTTTAAAATTTTTTTTATTAATCAGTATCAAACCCAAGCAAGGCAGTACAGCCACTAGAATGCAAGGGGTTACTGAGTGTTACAGGATGTAGAGGAATTAGGCACAGAAACATTAGTAATGAGGAGAAAGAAAAAGCAATCAGTAGGACAGTAGATAATGATTAACATTACATTTAAATTTATGCAGATTAAAGTTGGTTGGAAAGCATGGAGCTGGGAGGGAGTTCCACAAGCGAGAAATTAGGTTACAATAAAATTTGTATTTTATATGAATACAGCCTTATTAAAATTGAGATGTAATAGAGTGGGGGGCAGTATCATAGATTCGGGGTGGGGGGTTCTCATGACACCTTTATATGGTCAAGAGTATAACTGTCCTTTTGACAACTCATTTTTTTTGCAGGTATAAAGATTAAACATTGTCATACACATTTTATTTTTCTCAGTCCTTATGACAAAACAATTTTGTTTTTGTCCAGTTCTTTCCATAAGCCAAAAAACTTTATCTGAAACTTTAACTTTATTTTATTCATCAGCAATCCATTCTTTTCATTGTGTCAAATGCCAAGAATTATAGCTGAATCAGATAAACTGGAATTTGGAAATAGTAACAGTTCTTCTCTAATCTTACAACCATATCATGATGAAACACCATCCAATGGCCAAAGTTAAACAATGTGAAACCTGGTCAATACCTAGATAGGTGAATGCTTGGTGGGAGGTATAATGCATAATGGCTTAGAATGAAAAAATCAGACAGCTATTTAAATTCCAGTCAAGTTTGTTTCATTCAGTTACATGCAATTACTCTTGGGAAAGGTATGACTCCATCTGTTCTCCTCCCAGCTATAGGTTAAATATCAGGACAGACTAGATCCTATAGCCTTGGTTGGCAAACCAGCCTAGGAGAAAAAGTAACTGCAACTTATTGCATGAATTTTTCTACCAAGTCAATCATGAATGAAAAAGAGATTCTGTTCCAAGTGAACAAGACTTGTGGAATTATTTTACCATAAAAACATTAACATCCAACATGTTGCTAAAAGTTCTACATATCTACACAGTATCTTACAAGTGATTTCAAATGTTAATGACAATCTATATAGCTCAGGCATCTCTTTTAAAATCCAGCATGTATTTCAAAGGAACTTTGGATGTGACATAGGCAACAGAAAAGTGTATGCAGTGATAAAACTCAAATGTTTGATCGATTGATTTGTTTTTTTACAGCTTATCAACCTTTTACAGGTTATTTAAAGCTAGGAAATTTTTAGATTATAAGAAATTTTTGGAGATAATAATAATTAACTGATAAAAGTCCTACTAATTAACACATAGCTGGGGGAGAGAAGAGTTGGATTCTTACCTTTCCCAAAGGATATATGCACATAAGTGAATATAATGAACCTGACTGAAATTGGAACTCAGCTCTCCAATTTCCAATTCCGAGCCATTATTAACTACACCATCCACACATCCAAGCTTACAGCACCTAGTATTCTCAAGTGGTCACCCATCAAGGTACTGAAAAGGCTTGATGTTGCTTAACTTTGTTGAACTTATGAGAACTGGTGGTTCAATGTGATATGGCCATGAGCCACCTTCTTCTAGAAGAATGATCTTTGACCTTGAACATATGTTATTACTTTAGTTCTTGCTGTTATTCATACAGATCTATTTGAACCATAGATGAGACAATAATGTATCTGAACTCAGCTCTCTGATTTCCAATTCTTAGTTGTTATCCTTTATACCATCTGTACATCCAAGCTTACAGCACTTGGTATTCCAAAGTAGTCACCCATGATGTTCCTTCACTTTGAAAATCATATGAAAACCAGTGTTTCAACATGATATGACCATAAACCTTAAACTCAAATGAATTATATATGTATTTCTGTCTGACTAGTATATTTCATTTTAATTTCCTCACAGGTGAAAGAGAAAACTGAAAACACCAGAAGCCATGGTTCTACAGAAGGATGCTGGGAATACTATAGATGGATCTAGTTGAGCCATAGATGAGACCATAATGTGTGCTACTACTCCAAGTCAGAACTCAGCTCTTTGATTTCCAATTCTTAGATGTTATCCATTAGACCACCTGTACATATGAGCTTACAGCACCTGGTATTCCCAAGTGGTCACCCATCTAGGTACTGACCAGGCTTGATGTTCCTTAACTTCATAGATCATATGAGAACCAGTGTTTCAACATGATATTACCATAAGCCTAAACCTCAAATGAATTATATATTTATTTCTGTCTATTCTGACTAGCATATTCCTCTTAATTTCCTCACAGGTGGAAAAAGAAAACAAACAAATCAGGAACCATGGTTCTACAGAATAATGCTGATAATACCATGGATGGAACATGCAAGCAAAAAGAAGTCTTAAAGAAAAATGGAAACAAAAAGGATACTTATACTCAGAATCAGAAAGAGACAGCTGAAATTTCTTGAACACAATGAGGAAAGATGACCTGGAAAACTTAACACTCACATGGCATATTGAAGGTAAAAAGGAACTGGCAGAGACAGTGGCCTAACTAGCTCATGTGAATGGCTGGTGGAACAAGGTGTGGTAGGGATGGCAAAAAGACACACATTAATAAAAGCTATATGGTATATTAATTTGTGAAGATCCATGATTGCCCCCATCCACAGCACATAGAAGATACTCATCATAATCATAATGTTTTAGCTGTTGTACTCTTTAATCTTCTTCAGATATCTATTGTATTCAGTAACCTTTTCTGAATTTTGAATGAAACCCTTTATACAATCCATGGAGGTAGATTTTTCTAATTCAATTTCCCATGGTTAGAATATATCAATACACCCCATTCTGTTTTCCTTTGTGCCATCTTTTTTCTCTACTAGAGTATATGGCTTCAGCACTCTCCAAGAAGCACATGGCCTAGTGGAAATTTGGTTAAAACATATTTGTCTCCTTGGCAATTGTGTGTTTAATCCTTAGGTCAGATTTTGCTGAAAAGTCTTATACACTGGTTCAGAAAAGAAACAGATATGTAACACAGAGTAAAGAGTATTAAGTGATACTAGTTATCTCCCCTAGGCATGAAAAGCAGAATGAAAATAATCAATAAAGGGTTCAAAAGATTCCAAGATGGTTATTGTGGCAGAAGGCAACCATAGTTGTCTCCCTCTTGAACTACTTGACTATGAAAGAAATGGTTGAAAGTTTGCCAGAACAATTACCACAAAAGCTCAGGCACATTTACTTTAAATGCTGTGTAAATTTTTGAGTTTTATGAATATGAAAAAAAAAAAACATTCTTAAGGAGAGAGAACAATAAAAGAACAAGAATTAAGAAAATTAAGGAATTATTCATAGAAGAGGTACAAGGAAACTATATTATGGCTGTGGGAAAGTGACTAAAGTTTTATAAAAGTTTGCTATGTAAATTCATCGTAAATTGATAACACTATGAAAACCAAGACAAAATATGCTCATACTCACATCCAAGCATCAGGATCACCATCCTCTCTCCCTTTTCCATTTCTACCCCTGGTGGCGATGACAGAAATAGCTGTGAAAGCCCAGCTTACTCCTGATGAGTCATGAGTAGGTGTCACAGAGGAGTGTAGGTGGTGATGAATGCTAGTGGGAGAAAATGGGGTAGGCTGTGGGAATCCTGAATAGTCCAGTCATAAGTCCAGTGGCTGCATTTTCATGTCATTGCAAATCATGAGAGATATGACCATCACAAACCCACCGCTAACATGTGGGCATAGACTAAGGGTCTCCAGCTAACCAAGCCTGTCTCCATTGACTGCAGGACCATTGTCACTGGACTTACTGAAGAGTGGAAGAAAACAAAGTCAAATAGAGTTTGACAAGGCCATTTACATTTGATTTGCTTTTGGTGCACATTAAATATATGAGAACATGGCGATTTTATTGAATATATTTACTCTTTAGTATTTCAAGATATTTTTGTGTAATTTTGGTAAATATATCTGTTAAAATGAGATATCAGTGTTATTTTCACTTTTGTGTAATTTAAATGACAATTTACCCATCGCACGCTGTATTTTACACTGGATGTTAGAGTGAACAAGTTCATTATTAAATGTACCACCTATTGTTACTTTAATGACAATAATAGAAACTAATCAATAAATAAGAAAAGAATAAAAATATAAAATTTTCATTAAATATATGAGAACATTTTTTATTATTGTTGTTGATAAATATTTGAATATTTATATATAGTTTGGAGTGCTTCATCTATAATAACATGAAAACAAATTTGCAGAAGTGTAAGTTTTTTCAGGGGCCAGTGTAAAAATCTTGCAAAATAGTATTATAAAATTAATATATCGAATCTTAAAAATAAACAAGATGTAAAGCACTGTTCTAAAATAACCTTAAGCGATCATAAAAGCAAAATAAATTGTATTTAAAGGATCATAGTCACTAATAGTAGTCCTGATAATGCACTTGAAATATTTTTAGGCAATCAATAACAATCAGCTCTTTAATTTATAGTTTTGTTTATCAAATCACTTATCTACTTAATAAGTGATTATTGGATTTTTTTGTGATGTTATTTTCCCTCTGGACATTTGCCTTTTATCAAAGAGCTTAATGGATTATTTACAAAGAAGAGATTATAAAAAGACTCTTTCACTGAAACTGTGTTTTGACATTCAATGATTACACATCAAATTTACATTTTGTCTTCAATCTCATATCATGAACTTAGCTTTGATCATAAAAAGAGGGATCAGTTTTTAGAGTATTTAACTAAGAGACACAGCACTTATTCAATGCAAAAATGGGCAAAGTTTAACATATGTGCCTGCAAAAAAACACTGAGTGAAAAAGATGTTTTTTCTCTTTTTAAAACAATAACCATTTCTGAGGAGTGAAGGTAGTTAAAATAATACCAGCATCAAGAGAAAAAATTTTCTTTTGACACTGTTTTTTTGCAGGTATGAAGGCCCAAGATTGCCTAAAATTCTTTATTTGGAGATGTCAGTTCATTAGTGAAATATATCAAATTGAAGTTTTTTCCCCAGTTGTCTTATAGATTTGCCAAAGGCCTGAATCCATCTTTTTATACTCACTTTCATGTTATGAGTAAAACAGCAAGGCAAACTAGGCTCTCTAGCCTTGAAAGTGTCAAGCACAGAAATAATCCACATGCAACCACATCATCTGACATCACAGATATCCACATCATGCCACATTAGCTTCAGTAAATGATTTTCTATAATCCCTTAAACTATATGCCAATAGATTTTCTTGGGCTCATCTTAGCCTTGCCCAATGCACTCTACTGTTAAAATAAAAATCAAGCATTCATGTATTTAACATGAATGATATTTTCTCTGATAATATAGATTTTGCTGAAACAAACACTAGTTCATCAAGAAAACATGTTAAATTAGAAGTTTTCCAAACTGCCCTATATATATATATATATATATATATATATATATATATATTATAAAATGGGATGACAGGGTCAAGAATAGTGCAATATTGAATAAATGTAACAACATTACAGTCATTGAAACCATTCTAGCAAAGACACAATTTAAGTGGGATGGTCATGTTGTGAGAATGGATGAGCATAGGCTTCTGAAAAAGGTGCTGTATGGACAACTACCAAACTCCAAGCGTTCAGTTGGATGTCCACTCTTACACTACAAAGACAAATTGAAAGACAATTTGAAATGTCTCAACTTTGATCTGAAAACCTGGGAAGCCCAATCATCAAATTGAAAGTAGTGGTGTAAGACATGTTTCATTAAGTTAAAGGGCTTTGAAGACAGTAGACTGAAGCACCATGATCAGCTTCATCAAGCTCTGAAGCAGAGACTCCATCAAAATCCTGCTTTAACAAATTTCATCTGTCAGTGTGGCTTTGTTGCCTGCATCAAGGCTGGACTAGTACCACACTCAAGAAAGCATAAATGAAATATGTCTTTCCGTTACCTGATTTTCTCCACAATAGCCTCTGCCAGCATGCATGTGTAAAACAAAAGACACCATCTAATACTGACCCTCATTTATCATTCACGATAAGAGAGTCCACCATATATATATATATATATATATATATATATATATATATATATATATACAACTGAGAAAATAGATGAAAATTATGAGAATTTTATGTATTTTTTCAGGTTAGTAGAAATGCACAAAAGATAACTAGAGCTAGATAGATATTCAATAAATTAAGAAATTCAATAATAAGTTCAATAGATTTATCAACATAATGAGCATTTCCATGTAAAACTCTTGAGTCTAGGCTTACTGCCATATTTTGTTCAAAGGAAAGGGAAATTCTAGTGTATTATTTTTAGGAATGTAAAAAAATGCCAGACAGCCATAGTGTTCTATTCACTTAATGAAGAGCATTTCATTAGCAAAGTTGGCTGCTATATATATATATATATATATATATATATATATATATATATATATTATATTAAATATGACAGACAAGGAAAATTTTATGCATTTTTTATTTAGTTTTTCCAGTTAAAATTTTCCTTGCCTATCATATTTAGCAAAAGATGTTTAAAAGAAAGGTTGCTTCCCAAATATACATTTATTTGTACATATATATATAATAAGATAAGTGTGAATATTTTATTATATATATATATATATATATATATATATATATATATATATAATATTCACTGATATAAGATAAGTGAATATTATATTATATATATATATATATATATAATATTCACTGATATAAGATAAGTGAATATTTTATTATATATATATATATATAATATTCACTGATATAAGATAAGTGAATATTTTTATTATATATATATATATATATAATATTCACTGATATAAGATAAGTGAATATTTTATTATATATATATATATATAATATTCACTGATATAAGATAAGTGAATATTTTATTATATATATATATAATATTCACTGATATAAGATAAGTGAATATTTTATTATATATATATATATATATATATATATTCACTGATATAAGATAAGTGAATATTTTATTATATATATATATATATATATATATAATAAAATATTAACTTATCTTATTTACATTATTATTATTATTATTTCTTTATCCCTTGAGATTGAAGAGCATAATTACAAAAAGCTATTTCCCAAAAAATTATCTTCCAATAATAGCATGTCCTCCATTTTTGTCTGAATTTCATCTGAACGTAAATAGTGTAAA